TAGGCAAATGGTATTTTTTTCACATTTATAACCCACTTGAGGTGGGTGCTTGGTACCCCTTACCATACTTTTTTACCACTCACTTCACACGTGAAATTTTCTAAGGGAAATGCTCAGCTCCATTTCCAGTAAGATATCCACCCCTAGACTCAAGGAGGGTTGTTGCCTAATCTTCAAGGGCAATGACACTGCGTTCATGGTAATTGTCTGGTCTTCATAGCCATCTATGTAGGGCACTTGTCCTGCAAACTTGTCAGGGTTACCACGTATAAAACTATTAGCTTGTCAGAAAATTCATGGCATATTTTTCTGTTTTTCTCTGGGTCCACCAGAGACATCACACTCTCTACATTTATGAAGGATCACTGTACAGTGCTTTCTGCTCATCTCAGTCTTGCAGGTACCTAAGCTTGACCCCTAATTAAAGCACTTTATCTCCTTTTTCTGAGGTGGCAGGTTTTGTCGCAGTTCTTTCACAGTATCGCCTGAGTTGCCGAAGTTGCATGCCTTTCATTCTTCATGTGCTGTCTCAGTGGCTGGCAGTTCACCTGCATCAGACTGTTCTCACAGCAGCAGTCAGCCATTCCATCAAAGAATGATTTCTCTGTCCCAGAGCATATTGGCAACATGTCTGTAGTTGTTGTTGCAGGGAGGGCAGCATGGTGACAGCAGACAACTTCTCAAATAACACCATGACCCCCAAGTCCCACAGTCACAGTAACGAAGCAGCCACGGGCTCCCCCAGCTCCTCTAAGAACTGCTTACCCAGGTCTAACAGCTCAGCCTGGGTGTATGGCACACACGTAGTGAACTCACTCTCGGAAGACCCAGTGGAACCCCTCCCTGTGCCACCTGTCACTCAAGCTTGACCTTCTGGTGTGCAACAAGTCATGCATACAAAGCAGGCTCATGTCTCAGAACTGCTCTAATCATCCGTCCTCTGGACATTTTCACCTTCAGCCATTTCAAGGTTAAGTTCCAGTGCCAGTATCTGCTCCTCAGGCTACTTCTTTCACTTTGCAGCATTACGCAGGGATCTTTAGTCATCTGGGTGCCTGTAGCATAATCTACCCCATACAAACAGTTACTTGTTTCTCTCTTTCTGTCTCTAACTCCTTGGCTATGGCCACCAAGGCCTGCTCTAGGCTGTTCAGTGTCCCATCTACCCCATCACATCCACCAGAGAATATCTAAGAGGCTAGCACAGTAACCACATCCTGGTAAGTGGCCATCCCACCACCTCAGGGACTGGAGGGTTGTCTTCTACCTCTTTGAGTCCTGCTCACAGAGCCAAATATTTTGCGAGGTTCTTTCCTCCTCTAAAGGATGGTTGAACAGAGATGCAAGGAGTTGAAAAACTATGCAAGGCACTGATGTTATGTTGTTTACTGGATGAATTTAGTGGGAGCTCATAGAGCTCTTAGTAGGTTCACAAAGCCCATAGCACCACTCACAAGTTCTACCTCCCTCTTGGAGCTAGTAACATATGTGAGGATTGCTCACAGGACACTTTATGCTCTCTTGGAGCTCAACATGCAGAGCTGAACTGAGCCAAATTAAGGCAGAGCCAAGCCAAGACCATTAGGGCTCACCAGCCTGAACTAAGGCTGAGCAGAAGAGGGCTAGCTACCAGGGCAGAGCAGCATAGGGCATCCTAGCTGACCAGGGTTCCTTTATCTTAAAGGGGTCGCACAGTAGTGGCTCATTGTCAAAACCAAAGTGTTGCACATGCGCATGTGTGTCACATTCAATGGTGTAAAACAAGAAAGTCACAATTACATAATTACAAGTCACAATTACTTGCACAAGCATCCAAGTGCAGTACTTCTAATAATGTAAATTGTTTATCCTGTGGCTCTCACACATGATAAGATAGGAGGTAAGGAGCCAGACTAAACCATTCTGACTCCATTTGCAATACAGATATTATCTGAATTTATCACTTGAGGTTTTTTTGGGTTTTTTGACCAATGGTTATAGCAATTCCATGTAGTTTAACCTGATACATAAAGCCTGCTGGGAGACAGTCCTTTAGGGACCTCTTTTTCTCCTACACATCTTATTGACTATGTCAAGAATGGAAGGCCCTGACCACTCTTTGCCTGGGCCATTTCTCAGTTTTGTTTTCAGCAAGCAAGCAACTTTGAGTGATGAGGAAAGAAATGTCTCCTTCAATGAATGTCTCCTTTTGGATAAAGACCAGGCTTGCTTACTGCTTGCTGTAAAAGCAGTAGATTCTCCAACTCAGTGCTTTTGTCCTGGAACACAACTCACTAAATGTGTTGTGTAGCATCTGGGCTCTTTGCATCATCCCCTGGGCTTTGGAGCCAGAGGGACCAAGGTAAATATGCTGATGCTGGCACCACTGAGTGTACTGAGATACACTGTGCTTTCACCCTGTCCCAGGATCCTTGGGCCTTCTATATACTAACACTCATGGAACTGTCATAAGCTAACTTCTTAGCTTTAACATGTAGTAAAATCAAAACCCCTGCTAGCCCCCACAAAGTCACAGTAGAGGATACTCTCATTAATTGCATCCTTTGTGAAGTTTTCCCAAATGATTGCCATTTTGGACAAGGCAGCCAAAAACATCCTTAAGAAAGATGGGTTGTCATGAATCATTTTTCTGTCTTTTTTCTTAGAATTCTTCACAGGAAGTAAAAAAAAAAAAAAACTTTCAGAAGTAAAAATTATTTTATGTCCTCCCATACCCCATGCTCTCAGGACATGTGAAGCCCCTCAAGAAAGCTATGACTGTGTCTTGCAGTCTGGAAAAATCTGTGTGGGAAGTTTCTGGCAAGCTCATAGACTGAGTTTCTATCTGTTCCCATCCAACTGTATCTTCTCATAGGCCCAACCTTTAGACGTAAATTAAACTTTGCAGATCAGAGCTCCTATAGCATTCAAAAGGTTGAATTATTTTTAAAAAATTCCCTTAGGAACTAAAACACAGACCAGATTAAAACTGATAACCTGTGTCTCTAAGCATAGCTCCTCTGCTTTTTCTAGAATATGACTTTGGGTGGCCACATTGATTTTCTTACCTTCCAGACTAACCATTGATGAAACCCAACTATTTTCTCCTGACAACCACAATTGTGGAGATGGCATTTTTATGTAAATAGCTGTTCTCTGATTCATTAAACCCGATTGCCCTGGCATTTTCCTTTCTGACCCTTATCAGCCACAGACTGGCAAAACATGCAGTAATAAAGAGGACAAAGAAAGGCAATAAAATGGTTACAACCAAGAAGTGTATGGGGTTTGCGACCAACAAGGAAATTTGGAAATGGATGACTGAACACCCAAGGATACCCTGTCAGCCAGTCACAGCTACATTTGTTCAAAGCCTGACAAGTGCTTAGCACCATTTCAAGGTGTCACATAAAGATACATAGGAAATGACAGTCATGGAGGCCACTTTAAGAGCACTTAACATTTAATAGATGAAACAGTACAATTAAACGTCTACATATCTGTCAGCATACAGTGTGGCCCGTGTTTACCTCTCTACTTACTCTTTATTTCTTTCATAGCAGGTGTCATAAGCTGCCATATTTCTTTCTGTTCTTTCTTACTATGGTTCCCCCAGAGCTGGAATTCAATGGGTATGAGACAGTGTGTCCATTCCAATGACTTACGTGTACTAGTGCCAGTCCCACCCACTGGAGTATAAATTCCAAATATGTACACAGGGGACCATGTCTATCCTATTAACCTTTGTAACCCCAGAACGCAGTAAAATGCACCCAGGAGATTCTCGAAAGATTTTTTTTTGAATAAGTAAAATAAATAAATGAAACCAGCAACTGTATAGACTATATAACTTATATTCCGAATGCTGCTACTAACTCATTAACACAATTAACCAAGAACCTGATTCTTTTTTTTTTTTTGAGAGGTTTTTGCTATCGGGCATGTGTGCTCAACAGAAAGAGAGAGCCAGGAAGTGAGAAATCACCCCCAGGGGGGATGGCCACACCACAATCCCTTCTCCTCTATTCTCTCAGGATCTTAGGCACACATGCACACGTCTGTGGCATGAGTTTAAGCCACCGAGTCCAGGACTCGAATTGCGATTGACTACGTGGGAGTCTAGCAACATAGCCATTATACCGACTGCTGGTCCCAGGCAAGAACCTGATTCAAAGCCATAGTAAAATTTTCAAAGAGTTTAGATGAGAGAAAAAAGAAATTTCCCAGGCCCTACAGCAGGAAATCTATTTGGACTTTATTTTTCTTAGTGAATATTAAGATCATAAATCACAAAATAAGTTGGTAGAACACTAAAGGCCCTATTAAAATCTCCTTCGGTGACTTCAAGAGCAGCAGAGTTCCACTGGTACTCACAGACTTTTCAAGGTTTAAAGCTGGGTAGAAAAATAACAATCCAGTTCAATCACCTCATTTTATAGGTGAGCTATCCTAACTATATCACTAAGCTGGCGACACTCGACAGTGTGAAATTAAACACCACGTAAATTAAGTTCATTGATGACTCCAATTCTTCACATTGTGTTGTACCTCATCTCTTAAATCTGAGTTCAGCCACATGACTTCCTTCAGCCAATGGGAATAAGCTAATGCTATAAACAGAGGTTTGAAAGTGCCTTCACATTGGGACAGGCTCTTCAGTTGCTCTTTCTCTTTCATCATAACCATGAATACATGCCTGGACTAACCTGCTGCAGGAGGAAATATATGGAGCAGAACCTGGGTTCTTCATCCCAGCTAAGGCTAGCCCAGACTGGCCAACAGCTATCCAGCCCACAGGTAAGACAGCCAAGATCAACCAGTTGCCCTGAAACTGACCACAGATGCATAAGTGCACACAGCAGGCTTCCCTTGCTGACCTATAGATTCACATACCACTGAACTTTAGAGAGGTTTGGTTTGTAGCATTATTGTAGCAGTAACTAATTAATACTACACTCATCATAAAGTAATAAAAATTAATTGCCAGCAAAAGAAATATTCATCTGCAAAAGTGATTCTTTTTATTCAGACAAATTGTTTCCAGTTAAATTATTTGGATTCTCTACAGTCACAGCACACCCTCCTTCCAGCCACATCCATTTCTCTGGGATTGAGCAGACTTAGCTTGGATGCATTTAGAGAAGAGAACTGAAGGACATCAGCAGGATCAGCCCTGCAGTGGCAGATGTCACCTTCCTAGCACTGTTGGATTGCCAGTATTTTGCATACACATCATCCAGGATGGAGAGTACGGCCTCCATGGTTTCTTCACAGGTGGGCTGGATCTGAGCCGCTGGCAGAACAAACCCATAGGTCCCATTGTCCCTCAGCTCAAATGTGTATGAAAAGGGGATGCCAATGTCTCGGGCCCAGTCTCTTGAGGATCCTGATGTGGCATCTACAAATGAAGGCACAGGTAGAAATTGTACTTAGAAAAGATAGATTTCTTTCTTTTTTAATTTTTTTTTTTGAGAGAAATTTCTATAGCCATTTCAGGGAATAAAAGCTCAATCAGTCAAATGCAGACCTTTTTCAGTTGAGTGTCTTGTGGATAGCTATCTTTGTTCTCTTCTTGATAGTTGCCCTCACAGGGTGAGAGCTGCCATTGCTCTATCCCAGTCTCTTGAGGATCCTGATGTGGCATCTACAAATGAAGGCACAGGTAGAAATTGTACTTAGAAAAGATAGATTTCTTTCTTTTTTAATTTTTTTTTTGAGAGAAATTTCTATAGCCATTTCAGGGAATAAAAGCTCAATCAGTCAAATGCAGACCTTTTTCAGTTGAGTGTCTTGTGGATAGCTATCTTTGTTCTCTTCTTGATAGTTGCCCTCACAGGGTGAGAGCTGCCATTGCTCTATCCCCATGGTACCCAGCACCATGCTAGTACCCAGCAGGAGTTTAGTTAAAGTTTCTTAGCTGAATCAAAGACTAGACAATCTAATGTTACCAGGCAAGAGTGAACTGACACATCAAGGAACAGAAACAAAACAACCCACAAGAAAAATATTATGCAAATATTATCTAGATTGCCCCTGTCCCCGCCCCCTGGAGGGTGAAGGAGATGGTGCTTGGGCTGAGGGACTTCTCTTCAGTTATAAGAACTAAATTCTTCTCTTTTAGATCCTTTCTGTAGACCTTACCCTGCTGTGCTTTCTTAGCCTGAGGGGTCCTCTGGAAACGGAATCAACGGACCAAGGGTCATTGGACAATGTCCTTCCTGTTAACTCCTGTGTCTCTACCTTGCCAACTCTTTATAACTGAAGCCAGAGGAAGTTCAGGTCCGAGCCAGAGTATTAATTTTCTTCTTTTTAGCTCATACCTTACCCCTAGAGAGTATAATTCCGGGCTCGTACAGACTCTTTATCTTTTGTGATTTTGATTTGTACAACTCCCTGTTGATCCCAAGAACTCTTCTATTCTTCTCCTCCCCACTTTTACACCAAAGTCAACGGACTTCTTTTGTACTTTAGACACTATTAAAGAGAGAAAAAAATATACTTACATAAAATATCCACACTTGATCCAACTCTATAATTGGTTCCATGCTTTGCTTTCAATGCATTTGCTGCCTTCTGTCCAAATCGAATCTGTAGGTGGGAAATGCAGACACAGATATTTAATGTTAAAAATAAATCCAACAATCCAAGGGTTTGGTATTTTGTCCATATCCATATCCAGAGTTTAGACCATCTTTCCAACTTCTCACTGGACAAGCTACATCTAGGTAACTTGCCGGTACCTCAGACTGAACATACTCAAATCCAATATCATCACCTCTTCCATTAATAAGGCAGTTATGACTAATTAATATTTCTGACTTTGCAGGCTTCCCCAACACACATGTTAACCCACAGGCATTTTTTTTACTCTCCTCTCATTTACCAAGTTGTACTCCCAGTCCCCTCATCCTATTTCAGGCTCATTACCTTGGAACTGGTCTGTTGCACCATTAATAGTAAGTTTTATTCCGTTCCCTCCTCTCATCAATTCTTATCCCAACTGATCTCTCCTGGATCCTGGATGAACTTTTTTTTTTAATTGCCAGAGGGTGTGTATGTTCATCAAGAAAGACGTAGAGGTAGAGAGAGAGAGAGAGAGGAAGACAGCACCTACCAAAGGGGCGTGATCACGTTGCAATCCCTTCTCCTTTTCTCCATCCTGTTTGCTTTGGGGCACAACTGTACATGCACTCTGCTTGTTTTTCAAGCCACCAGGGCTAGGGTTCAAAGTATGCTGAGAGCCATGTGAGATCTGGCTCCCTTTGCCACAATGAACTTTTGTAGATCATAATCGTGCTAGAAATCCTTCAGTGACTCCTGGTTGCTCACTCTACTAGGTACGAAGTTCTCAGCCTAGCTTTTGAGATCCTCTGCAATACGGCCCTAACCCACTTTTCCAATGCCATATTCCAGGCATCCATCCTAGAATAAAATCAAACTCAAATTTTCACTATTTCTCATAAACACCCCATGTTCTTCAGCCTGTCTACATTTTCTTGGAATGGTCCTCCTGCTCAGGATCTCTATCTTTTATCTATGCCTACTGAAATTCTACCCAGTCTCAACAGACTTTCTTAAAAGCCAATTCCTCCATGAGGCCTTACTTGATCATCCCAACTGGAGGCTCTGTCTCTCCACTTTGAATCTCCTATAGTGCTTCACTTATACCTTTCTTATTACTCCCACTTATTTTTCCTTATGGTATTTGATACTTATTTCTCATAGACTCATAGACTTTTAGGGCTGGCAATCACACCATCTCTATACCCACTACAATGTCATCTGACTAAACAAAGTCTTCCCCCCTAAACTAGATAAGTTATGAGGTCTCAGCCCAGCTCTCTTCATATGCTCCACTGAGATTAGAGTGACTGTCTAACTGAGATCCAAGTTTACTACCTGTACTTATTGACTTGATAAATCAATACAATGAGGAGGTATGTTGACAGACCTCCTAAGCATTCCCCACTTCAGGCTCCCCTGTGCTATATTCTACTCACCAGATGGTATATTCCACTATATCCCCTTAGATTTCTAAACAAACTCTACCAAATCCCCTAGCCACTTGCTACCTGGACTGTGATCTGTCATCACTTTATTTCTTAAGGCAGTCTGCCTGCCTTGGAAGTGCACCAGTTCCCCTGACTCCTGACTAGTGACAGGTCCAGTTTTAGGTCCTCTGTCTCCTTTTTTGGCCCTGCACTGTGCAGCTCAATCCTAAGATGTAACAGAGCAGTGATTCTGTAGATCCAGTGGAATTCAACAGGAAGACTAGAAAGGCAACAAGTGGTGGTGGAGTCCTATGCCACAGTTGTGGGTGGCGTTCTGAAGGCACTTGGGACTTCTGTGTGTGTGTGTGTATGTGTGTATAAAGGAAAAAACATCGAATAGATAATGTTTGTGGGCCTTTTGTCTTCTCTTCACTTACCACAAAGAACTCTGCCTTTGACCATTTATATCCTCTCTCTTCCTGAGAAGAGATTCTGAGTCTGCCTCAATTCCTGGGGCACCGAGCTGTCTAAAACTGAGATGAGGAGGAGGAAGCCTCAAGAAGCACAAAGTATTAAGCTCATTTCATCATTTACACTGGGAAGAGGTACAAGGGCTGTTTGTACAAAGAAAAGGAAATTATAAGAGGGAGGGGAGAGTCAGTAAGGGGATTTCTGGAGAAAAATTCTGGTAAGGAAATGAGAGTGAAGGTTGGAAAGGATTCACGGTCACTGCTAGTGGCGATGAAATTAAGTGCAGGAGGCCTGGGGAAAGCATTGCTGTGATTTCCCAACTACCCTCTCTTGTGAAGTTCTTCGAGAATATTTACTGGAGATATCAATTACTTTTCATTATTTTTATTTCTCATGTGTTCCTATGATTCTTCGATTGAAGCTCCATGCTAATTAGTCCATGTGAGGCCTTAACGTTTATTGAGGCTATATGGATCAGCTCCAGGCTGCATTTCTCCAGCCAAATGGTTCTTAGAAATATTTTTTTTCCTCTGAGCTCATCTTGGACAACTGTACTTTCTTCCCATTGCCAGTCTTTACTTATCTTTCCCTTTATAGTTCCTCTCCCTCAAATTCTGACTATGGGATAGAAACAGTCTTCCCAGTTTCCCCTTTTTTGATGACAAAAGAAATTTTGAATTTCATTTTATTTATTTTTTAAGATGTTTGCCATAGAGTAGGTGCACTCTCCAGGGAGAGAGAGACAGTGAGAGGCAAAGTGAAAAATCACCCTCCTGGAGGGATGATCATGTCATAATCTCTTCTCCTTCATTCTCTTCTCAGGATTTTGGGCACACACACACACATGGTTAGCATGATTTTCTGCCTGCCAGGTCTGGGACTTGAACTGCAGTCAGCCATATAGGAGTCCAGTGCTTTAACCACCATGCCACTTGTTGGCTTGAATTTTATTTTTTAATGATCCTACTAATAAGAGCAAGAATATATATAAGAAGTGGACAGTTGTGATCCTTGGCTTATAATTGTGGTCTTTTCTGAGAAGATGTAATAAAAATCTCCAATTTCTGACTTTCTCCTAGACTTCTAACTTCAAATTCTCTCTCTAGGGGAGAAACTCCTGATTGTACTTCTCTCTCCTGATACTATACTGCAAGGCCATATAGAACCTATTTCTCTGCTGTCCTTCTTCTCAGCTTAGAAGTACTTTCTAGTAAAAATAATAAATATTCTTGATAGTGTCAGGTTGTTGGGAATGTCATGACATATTTTTTGCATAGAAAAACAAAAAAAAATACATGAAAGTCATCTTGACAAGTAGACATAACTTTCCTGATGACCTAATAGTACACAATACACTTTTTTTTTTTTCAAGAATTCTGGTCTGCGCAACAGCTCCTTCACTGGGTCCAGAGAATTATATATATCAATCTTTTTGTGGGCCTGAACACTCAGGCCCACAAAAAGATTGACTAAGGCCCCAACTTGTGGTTAGGTGTGGTGGGAAAAGAGCTTCAGATGGAGCATAGAGGTTGATATGGAAAGGGTTCAAATGGAAAGAATGTAAGCATGTAAAACCTTAGAATTCTTACAGCTATTCTAATTCCCAGAGCAGTTTAGAAAGGGCTATATATAGTTATGTTTCTCCTACAGACTGATTGCCAAGTTGTCTATCATGCAGTATAATATTTACCGTGATTTTGAAAAAATTTGGTTTTGTAAATATATAGAGATTAGTTACTAGTCTAGGGTGGGTGTAAATAATACTAGAAATGGAAATACCTTTGCAGCACTTGGCTTGGTTCTGTATCTTTGTGCCCTCTATCAAAGCTTAACTTTAAGAATCTAAAAACATTGCTTAGCAGCTTCAATAAGGTTGACACATCGTAGGACAATTTTCACACTGTCTTTTCATTGAAAAGTCTTAGAGATAAATATTTAGGCTAACTCTTCAGCACCTGAGACTGTACGAGATACAGAATGGAGAAAAACCTTTTCAATTTGATTGACCAATGTTTACATATAACACTAAAGAGTTGTCGATATTTTTGTATCAGCTCTCTTCCAGTAGTATTGATGCTAATTGTCCCATGTCCCTCCTGTCTACTTGCTCCTTCTCACCTGTGGTCACAAACAGCCGAGCAACACTCAATAATGCCCTTTTACCTTCAAATACAAGCCTTGCAAAATGGTCATAAATGTTTGTTTTTCTGAACCAAAAAGAAAATAAAGTTCCCTAGGAAAACACTGCAGTATGTGAGTCTGGTCTTTCTAATGACAGAAGATCCTTTTTGAGCAAAGATCTTCCTGATGGTAGAAGATGCCTTCCCGTCAAGGGTGTATGATAGTCTGCCTGTGGAGATTGATTTGTATTTGTTATAGTTCCCTGTAAAGGGAAAGTAGAAATCTACAACGACTATCTCATAAACTGAAGCTAAGGACAGTTTGGGGCTTCTGGACTGAAATCTCTGTTTCTGCAGATTTATTTACTGAAGAAACAGACCTTCCTGAGCTCACAAGTGAGAAGGAAATAGCACATAGTGCACTAGGAATCTAATTTGATAATGGCTCCCAGAAGTTCCAAACCCTTTCCAAGTGGAGAGAGGCAGAGTGAGGCAGTGGGGTGATGAATGTGGCCCCTGGAGTCCAAAGTCCTGAGTTTCTAGCCCAGCTCCATCATTTCCTGTCTACAGGAACATAGTTAACGCAGATCTCCATTTTCACATCTCCAGAGTGAGTTGATTTTATTGTCATGAGGGTCAAATGAAATAATGGTTTTGCAAATTGTAGAGATCTGTGCAAATATTAGTTATTTCCACAACTTGCAAAATGATTATCTAGTTAGAGTTTTCCTGAACCAAGAAAGGGAAAACTAAAACTGCTAGAAAGATAATTGAGTATTGCTGGGCATGTCTGATGGCTGGAGGAAAGGCTCCCTCTAGAAAAGAAATATAGTGCTTTTTTAGTGTACAGGTCCTGTGTTTTAAGGATCACACTCCAGTGGGAGAGAGACGGGCTTCTGTGATATTAAGAACAGAGAGAGAGCTTATCCATCCTAGCATTAGCATATAATGAGGATCTTATTTTTAAAAAATGAGAAGATAAACAGAAAATAACAAATATTGGTAAGAATGTGGAGAAATTAGAATCCTTGTGCACTCCAGGTGGGTGTGTAAACTGGTGCAGCCACTCTGGAAAAGAATATAGTTTGTTTTTTTTTTTTTTCTCCAGAAATTGAACATAGAATTACTTTTATCCAGCAATTATACTTCTAGGTATATATCCACAAACAGTGGAAGCAGAGTCTTGAAAAGATATTTGTAACCCGTTTTCAGAGCAGCACTATTCACAGTAGCCTAAAGGTGGAAGACACCCAAGTGCGCATCAGTGGATGAATAAACAAAACGTGTACACACTCACACTCACACTCACACTCACAATGGAATAGTATCCAGCCTTAACAAGCAATAAAATTCTCATATGTCCTACAACATAGATGAATTTTGAGGATATTATGCTAAGTGAAATAAGGCAGCCATAAACAGACTGATATATTAAATGAAAGATAGTTGAATTCATAGAAAATGAAAGTAGAAAAGGAGTTTCCAGGGCTGGGGGTAAGGAAAATTGGGAATTGTCGTTAATGGATACAGAGTTCAAGTATGCAAGATGAAAAAGTTCTGGCTATTGGTTGCACAACAATGTGAATGTACTTAACTATACTAAACTATACACTTGAAAATAGTCAAGGTGGTAAATTTTTAAAAATTTATTTATTTCATGAGGGATGTGGAAACAGCAACCAGCCCCCAGCAGGTCTTGACACACCACAGTCCTTCCAGCCAGCCTCCCAACTAGCCAGGATCACGGACATACTAGACATGCTCAGGTTGACCGAAGATCCACACCCAAGACACCTTCCCCCCGCAGACACCCCAGCTGAAGCAGCAGGGCCCTACCACCTGCACCAGCACAGCAAGGCCAAAGATGGTGCCATGTGTCTTTTACTACAACTAAAATTTGGGGAAAAAATTAAATAGAAGGATAAATAGTACAATTCTAGATATACCCTCCCTTTGACTGGTGCCTATTGTCCTCGGATTTATAAAAAGGCAAAGAGCCCAGTTCTTTTCAGCAATTTTACCCTTCAGTACCTGGGAAAACACAGCTTACAGAAAGACAAAAACAGATTCCCTGCCCCAGCTTGCATTTTGTTGGCATTTCCACTCACCTAGGCAAATACTGGAGAAAGAGTTTAAAAGAAAATAAGAGCATTGTGTTTAGCAAAGAAGAGAGCCGATATTATTTAGCCATGCTATTTGAGATTTGCCATATTCCACTAACAGCTGGCAAGTTCTTTAAAGCACGGTTCAAAAGCTGTAACTGCTGAACAGAGCTTCAAGAGAATTTACAGAAACGAAAGTGCATTC